GTCTTTGATCTTCATCAGTAAGTACTTCAAGTCCTCTTCACTTTCAGCAGGCAAGATTGTGTCATTTGCATAACACGGGTTATTAACAAGTGTTTCATATACATATCTATCTATCTATTTATCATATATATGTTTTTTCTTGTTGTTAGGTGCCATCGAGTCAGTTCCAACTCATCGCCACCCTGTGTACAACAGAAACACTGCCTGGTCCTGTGCCATCTTCACAGTCGTTGTTATGCTTGAGCCCATTGTTGCAGCCACTATGTCCATTCATTTCATTGAACGTCTTCCTCTTTTTCACTGACCCTCTACTCTACCAAACATGATGTCCTTCTCTAGGGACTGGTCCCTCCTGATACCATGTCGAAAGTATGTAAGATGAAGTCTCCTCATCCTTGCTTCTAAGGAGCATTCTGGCTGTACTTCTTCCAAGACACATCTATTCGTTCTTCTGGCAGTCCATGGTATATTCAGTATTCTTCACAACACCATAATTCAAAGGCATCAGTTCTTCGGTCTTCCTTATTCATTGTCTAGATTTTGCATGCATATGATACAACTGAAAATACCATGGATTGGGTCAGGCGTACCTTAGTCTTCAAGGTGACATCTTTGTTTTCAACACTTTAAAGAGGTCTTTTGCAGCACATTTGCCCAGTGCAGTGCATCTTTTGATGTATTGACTGCTCCTTCCATGAAGATTGATTGTGGATCCAAGTAAAACTGAAATCTTTGGCAACTTCGGTCTTTTCTCTGTTTATCATGATGTTGCTTATTGGTCCAGTTGTGAGGATTTTTGTTTTATGTTGAGGTGTAATCCATACTGAAGGCTGTAGTCTTTAATCTTCATCAACAAACACTTCAGGTCCTCTTCTCTTTTGGCAAGCAAGGTTGTGTCATCTGCATATTGCAGGTTGTTAACAGCTCTTCCTCCAGTCCTGATGCCGCCTTCTTCATGTAACCCAGCTTCTGGATTATTTGCTCAGCATACAGATTGAATAAGTATGGTGAAAGAATACAACCCTGACGCACACCTTTCCTGATTTTATACCTTGTTCTATGGAACGACTGCTTCTTGGTCGATGTACAGGTTCCGCATGGGCACAATTAAGTGTTCTGGAATTCCCATTCTTTGCAGTATTACCCATAATTTGTTATGATCCACACAGTCGAATGTCTTCACATAATCAGTAAACAGGTCAACATATTTCTGGTATTCTCTGCTTTCAGCCAAGATCCATCTGACATCAGCAATGGTATCCCTCATTCCACATCCTCTTCTGTATCCAGCTTAAATTTCTGGCAGTTCCTTATCAATGTATTGCTGCAATTGCTGTTGAATGATCTTCAGTGAAATTTTACTTGTGTGTGATATTAATGATATTGTTCAGTAATTTCCACATTCTGTGGGATAACCTGTCTTTGGAATGGGCACAAATATGGATCTTTTCCAGTCAGTTGGCCAGGTGGCTGTCTTCCAAATTTCTTGGCATAGACAAGTGAGCGCTTCCAGCACCTCATCCAATTTTTTGAAATATCTCAATTGGTATTCCGTCAATTCCTAGAGCCTTGTTTTTCACCAGTGCCTTCAGTGCATCTTGGACTTCTTCCTTCAGTACCATCGGCTCTTGATCATATGCTGCCTCCTGAAATGGTTGAACGGTGATCAGTTCTTTTTGTTACAGTGACTCTTTGTATTCTTTCCATCTTCTTTTGATGTTTCCTGTGTCATTTAATATTTTCCCTGTAGAATCCTTCAGTATTGCAACTGGAGGCTTGGATTTTTTTCTTCAGTTTCTTTCAGCTTAAGAAATGCTGAGCATTTTCTTCGCTTCTGGTTGTCTAACTCTACGTCTTTACACATTTCATTATAATACTTTGTCTTCTCAAGCTGCCCTTTGAAATCTTCTGTTCAGCTCTTTTACTTCATCATTTCTTCTGTTCACTTTAGCTACTCGACGTTCAAGAGCAAGTTTCAGAGTCTCTTCTGGCATCCATTTTGGTCTTTTCTTTCTTTCCTGTCTTTTTTAATAACTTCTTGCTTTTCTGTATGATGTCCTTGATGTCATCCCACAGCTCATCTGGTCTTCAGTCATTAGTGTTTAATGAGTCATATCTATTCTTGAGATGGTCTCTAAATTCAGGTGGAATACACTCAGGGTCATTCTTTGGTTCTTGTGGTGGTTAAGACTTCAGCTGCTAACCAAAAGGTCAAGAGTTCACATCTACCAGCCGCTCCTTGAAAACCCTGTGGGGCAGTTCTACTCTGTCCTGTAGGGTGTCTGTGAGTTGGAATCAACTGGAACAGCAATGCGTTTGTAGTTCCCCCCTCCCTGGTCCTTTACGGAAGAAGCGTACCAATCCTTGGTCTAGCTGAAAAATCAGCTTTGGATTTATTTATATTGTCTCCTTTTTATTTTGTACTTCGTCCATTTCAGCTTTTAATTCCCCCTTGCTAGTTTCTCTTCATTTATTTTACTGTGGTTTTTATTCCCGTAAGATGAATATATAGTTCCTGTATTTTTCATCCTTTTCATAAGAAGATGCCACGCCTACCCGCTTTCCTTCAATGCAGCGCTGGCTTTCCAGAGTGTCTTATGGGGTGCCCTCCTTGCCACAGCTTTCTAGACACTTGTAATTTCTTCTTTGTTTTATTTTTCGATACAAGGGTGTCTTAGTCATATAGTGCTGCTATAACAGAAATACCACAAGTGGATGGCTTTAGCAAAGAGAAGTTTATTCTCTCACAGTCTGGTAGGCTACAAGTCCAAATTCAAGGTGTCAGCTCCAGGGGAAGTTCTTTCTCTTCTCTGTCGGCTCTGGAGGAAGGTCCTTGTCATCAATCTTCCCTCTGTCTGGGAGCATCTCAGCGCAAGAAACTCAGGTCCAAAGGATGCGCTCTGCTCCTGGTGCTACCTTCTTGGTGGTATGAGGTTCCCATGTGTCTTGCTCACTTCTCTCTTTTATGTCTCAAAACAGATTGGCTTAAGACACTGTCTAATCCTGTAGAACTCATCACTATAACTGCCGCTAATCCATCTTATTACATCATAGTGATAAGAGTTTATGACACATAAGGAGATCACATCAGATGACAAAATGATACACAGTCATACAATACGGAGAATCATGACCCAGCCAAATCGATAATTTGGGGACATAATTCAATCCATGACAAACAGTTACAGAGAAATATTTTTCTTGATTTCCAAGTACCTAAGACTTTTTTGGTCACCTCTTTTTTATTTCTGATTTCATTAGGTTCCGATCAAGAACTATGGCCTGTAAACGCTCTCCTTTAAAAAATGTGTTAAGGTTTTATTTGGGGCCAGGTAGGTGATCAGTTTTGGTGAATGTTCTAAGGACATACCAAAAAAAAATCTGTATCCTGTGGTGGAGGGATGGGGAGTTGCATATATGTTTGTTAAGTAAACTATTTAGTCCATGTCTTAGCTTGTCTGTATCCTTACTCACGTTTTGTCCACTAGTGAGATGAAGAGGGCTGAGGTCTCACACTACAATTTGTACTCAAATTCTCTTTGAGTTTCTAATAAATCTTGCTTTATGCATTTAAATGCTATGTTGTTTCATGCATACAAGCTTATGATTATTTAATCTTCCTCATTATATGTCCTCTCTACTGTGTTGTGTTTGTGGGCTTAAATTCCACCCTGTAATAATACTAATATTGCTGCTACTTTTTTCTTTTTACCTGGTATCTCTTTGCTTTCTATTTTCACTCTTTCTTTATCGTTTTACTTTAGATATATTGTTTAGAAGCAGCTAGATTTTATCTTGACTCCAGTTTGAAAGCCTCTGTTTTCAATGTGGTAAACCAGTCCAGTCTACAGTTATTTGATTTTATTCATTCATCTTTACCTTTCCTCCTTTTCCTTAGTTTTTCTAGTTTGACTGGCTGCTCTTCATGGAATTTTTTTCTTGCCGGTTTAGTTCTGCTATACTTGTCCATCCTATTAACCTTTAAGGAAGGATTTTTCTCTTCCCTAATAGGAATGATCAGGGGAGTGGAGTAAAAGCTGCTGCACCTGGCAGCAAAGGTGTTGGCTGAAAGAGATTCCTTGAGGTGGGGAGAAAGGATGGGGGCTGGAGCGAAGGTAGGCACTGCCTGGCCTGAGGCAGGCCGTCGTGGCAGCATGCTGGACTGACACAGCAGCCCACCTGGCTCTCCGGGCTTGGCTGCAGTGGCCTCTGGTTCCTTCTGTAGCATGCCATGCCCTGCCCTGCCGCCTCCTGCTTTCTGCCAGGCCGTCCCGCTTGCCCTTCAGCTCCGCCCTAGCCCTCCCACCCTGAGCTTTCGGCTCCCCAGCGAGGGTCTCTTGTGACCAGGCGTCCTCTTGTGCAGCACTTCATGCAGCTGGGATTAAATCACAGTGAGTTCATGGCAGTTGCCCCGCTAGGATAGGAGAATCGGGGTTCTCCCTGTCTTACTTACCAGTGCATTCCTAGCACCTACTTTAGTTAGGCCCTTAATAGACTTTTGCTGAGCAAATGCAGGTTTGTGATGTGTGCCATTCTCTTCTCTCGCTCATGAACTTAGGGCAGTGAAGCACGTGAAGGTAGAAGTCCATCATGGTTCAACCCTGCTGAAGCTGTTCAAGTCATGCGCTACTGCTGCCTGCTCTCCCGGAGCCTCTCGAGCCAGGTGTCAGCAAACGACATCGGCGTCATCACGCCCTACCGGAAGCAGGTATGGTCCTGCTTATGCAGAGAGCCTCATCCTCTGCGGCCGCTGCGTCCACTTCTCTGGTTCATACCATCCCATAGCGGGCCCCATCCTGTGATGCACAGAAATACGTGCTTGTAAAGGGCAGCAGGTCTGTAAGAGAAGTGGGTACCACATTCAAGTGATGGGCTCAGTCAGGGTCAGCCGACTCCAGCCCACAGGCTAGTCCAGCCAGATACCTGTGTGTGACAGCCATGAGCCCAGAACAGCCTTTACATTTGTAAGTGGTTACATTTAAAGTGTTTATGTAAGGACCTGCATAACATCCTTGGTTTTCCTTTAGACTCGGAAAGCCTAAAATATTATCTGGCCCTTTAAGAAAAAGTGTGGCGAACCCGGCTCTAAGGAGGCATTACTGGTATTTTGGATGGGACAGTTCTTATTTTTGTACAACACTCCCATACAACTATAGGACAGTTAGATCTCCTGGCCCCAAAGTGCCAAGTCCCCGTAACGTGCTCCATTCACTGTGACTACCAGAAACCCTGCCCTGGAGATGCTGGGAGGGGAGCTGGTGTACCTCCCGTAGTGAACAGATATCGCTCGGTCATTGAGCATTTATCTGTTTCTGTGGTATACCACCAAGTATCTGGAGGAACTCCTCAAAAAAGCAGAGCAAAGGTTGATCAGATAAATAATGATAGTAGGTAACATTTATCAAGCATACACTGACGTGCCATGCACTGTGCTGAGCCCTTCAAAACCATTGTCTTTTTTTTTTTTCTGAAGTTGAGACTATGTGAGATGAGGACTTAGCTCCCCCAGTGGTAAGGAGGAGATTACGAGGCTTACCACACTGCTAAGCCAGTTTTATGAATACAAAGAATACACTCCCTGCAATGTAAACTGTAGAGTTGTCCCGTTCTTTTCCACACACTGAGCTGCATAGGCTCTTGGAGTCTCTGAGTTTAAATATATTCAGTACTATCACTTATCTGAGTCCTGCAGCTAATCGTTACTCAAGTTGGTTTTCCATATTTTAGCCTTCCCCAACAATTGACCAACTTATCTCTCTCTTCTTTGCTTACTGCTTTTTTTTTTTTTTTTAAGATTCTTTTTTATAAGAGATTCTTTCAGTTGTCAGTGAGTGAAGACAATTAATCCTTGGCCTCGGGAATAAAAACGTTGCTAACAGGTGTCATTTCTTTCAGTCTGAAGGACTTCTTTAGTATTTCTTGCAAGGCAAGGTCTTCCAGCCTTCCCTTATTTGGGAATGTCTTTTTCATCTGCATTTCAAAGGATAGTTATGTTGGTTATAGAATTCTTGGTTGACATTTTTTGGGATTTTGTTTTCTTTCAACACTTTAAATATGTCATCCCACTGCCTCTTGGCTTCCCGCATTTCAGATGAGAAGTCAGCTGTTGATCATATGATGATTTGTTTTTCCTCTTGCTGCTTTCAAGATTTTGTCTTTGGCTTTAAACAGTTTTCTGATGTGGATCTCTGTATTTATCCTACTTAGGGTTTGTTGAGCTTCATGTATTAATTTTTTTCATCAAATTTGGGGAGTTTTCAGCCATTGTTTCTTCAAATATTTTTTCTGCTCTCTTTTTCTTTCTCTTCTCTCTTTCTGGGACTTCCTTACATGTATGCTGGTGCCCCTGATGTTCCATAGGTCTCTGGCTCTGTTCATTTTTCTTCAGTCTGTTTTCTTTCTGTTCTTCAGTTTGGATAATTTCTATTGATCTGTCTTTTAAGTTCACTGGGTTTTTTTTCTGCCATATTGAATCTACTGTTGAGGCCCTCTGGTGGATTTTTCAGTTCAATTCTTGTATTTGATATATGTAATTCTATCTCCTTACTGGAGCTCTAGTGCTGTAGTGGTTAAGAGCTCAGCTGCTAACTATAAGGGTCAGCAGCTCAAAGCCACCAGCTGCTCCATGGAAACTCTATGGGGCAGTTCTGCTCGAGTTAGGAACCAACTCAACGGCACCTAACAACAACAGTCTCCTTACTGGGAATCTATCTGTTAACTTGTTGGTGTTACACTTTAATTCTTCTAACATGGCTTTCTTTAGTTCTTGGAACATATTTATAATAGCTGCTTCAACGTCGTTGCTACACCCAGCCTCTGGAAATACTGCGAGGTGTTTCTGTTACGCTTTTTTCCTGAGTATGGGTCACACTTCCCTGTTTCTTTGCATGTCTCATAATTTTTTGTTAAAAGTGGGTATATTAGATAATAGATAGTAGCAACTTCAGATTCTGATTCCCTCCTGAAGATTGTTGTTGCTGTTTTATTTCTGTTTGTTTCTTTGTTTAGTAACTTGCCTGTGCTAAGTCTGTGAAATCCATCTTTCCTGTAGTGTGTGGCAGCTGATGTCTCTGCTCAGTTTTACTGTTTTATTTCATGTTTTAGTCTGGCTCCCCTGGGGTCGCCCCTGTGTCTGTGTAGCTTAGTAGTTAACCAATGAGGAACAGAGGTTGTGTTCAGACAACCTGAGCCAGCAAGGCTGCCACTCTCTGTGTGGGGCAGGGGTGCACCGTCACAGTTGAGGCTGTTACTGAGTCTTCCCTGGCTTCCTTTTCCTCTGGACCCTTTCATGTCTCCTCTGCACATGCATGCAGCCTTGGCCAGGAAGTGCTTGTCACGGCTACAGCCACAGGCTGGCACACAGTCACTCCGCCCTGTTTGCTGCCTCTGACATCACCACGTCCACGGACACCAGCCCGGGCCTGGGCGTTGCCTGCCATTCCGGACGGAGCAGGCCCCCTTCGCCTGCGGCAGGGAAGCCACTGGTCCTCTGTCCTGCCCTATCCCGGCAATTGTTTGCCTGTGGGGGGGCCTGTCCCGCTAAGCTGTGGTTTTCTAGGGACCAAACTCTTAGCACCTCGTCTAGCACAGGTCAGACCTAGGAGCTCAGAAGTGAATGAGTCGCTCATCTGCCAAGAGAAGTTTCACGAGTTTTTTCCTTATTGCATTTTACTTACCTGCTCCCCTCTCTGCTGGTGAGTACTAGGTTGTTCCTGAGTGCTCCTTGTTGCAGACACCTCCTCGCACCCACGTGCAGGAGTTGCTCTAGGGCAGGTTCTGAGGGAGCGTTGCTGGCTGACGGGGGACACACGTTTTTGTTGTCACCAGGTGCACTCCAGGCAGTTCATGGTCCCCACCCTCCAGCAGTGTCCCCATGGCTCTGCGAGGGTCACAGCCCCACTGCAGGGTAAGGGGCACAGTGGGGTTCCCTCAAGTCATTGGTGATTTGAGAATTTTTTCGTATGTTCTTAGTCATTTCTTGAAATTTTCCTTAAATTGCCCGTTCAGATCTACTGCCCATTTTTAACTGATCTTGAGCATGTTTTTTTCCTCATCAGTCTGTGGTTCCCAGTATGTATTTTGGGCAACGGTTCCTTGGTGGTTGTATGTGTTACAGAAATCATCTTCACTGTGCATTGTTTATTTGCTTACTTATATGTAATGTATATGTTTTTAATTTTATTGTAATCAAATATATAAATAACTCCCTTTATGGTTTGTGATTTTTGTTTCTTAGCTAAGAAATCCTTCCCTATCTTGAGAGCATGAAATATTTCCTCACTTTTCTCCTGGAAGTTTGATGTGATTCCAGTTCTTACGGTGTGCAGTCCGTGTTCCCACCCCTCTCACTGAGCACCCTTCTCTTTCTGAGTGATGCTGTCTGTTGGTGAGTCTTCCAGGTGCTGCTCTGTGCAGCGGCTGTCCATGTGTCCTTGGCAGCAGCACATCTGAGTCATTGACCAGACTTCAGGACACACGTACATCAGGGACAGGGAGCCCCCGGCAGGGGCTCTTCTGACCCAGCCTGGCTGTTCTTGGCTTTACCTTCTTTCTCATGAAGTTTAGGAATTCCACCTTTATTCCAAAATTATATATACTTTTTTTTTCCTTCTCTTTGGGGCTGATTCAGCAACATGTCTTGCTGGTTTATTTGCTTCTTGGCATGTTTCAGGGTTTGTGTTTCTTCTGAGATTCATCCTTAGAAGTTCTTTCAACAAAAGTGTATGAACGGCAGATCATCTTAGAAGTTGTCTAAAAAGTGTATGTATTCACCACTTGATCTCGCATTTTCCCTCAGCTTTGAAGGTGTTGCCCTCTTGTCTTCTAGCATATGCTTGGTAAGATATCTGCTTTCTGCCTAAATTTCATTTATCTTTGTGTCTTTTTGTCACAGCCTGTAACATTTCCTCTCTGTTCTTGACATTGTATAGTCTAAGCACAGATCACTGAGATGTGGTCTCTCCATCCCACTGGGTACTCAACCAGCATGGGTTTGGACCTCCTCGTGACTGCGGTTCTGGGCAGCATCTGGGCCTCCCACCACTCTCCCATGTTGGCCACGCTCCCCGCTCCCATGTCTCTGAACTACTTTCTCGGGGAGCCTGTCTCTGTCTGGACACCTTCTGGATAACATTCCTCAGCGTCATCTTCCCCTTCACTAAGTCTCCTTCTGAGCATGATCAAGCATCTTTCCCATCCACTGAGTTCTGTTTCAGTTACCGTACTCTTTTTGCCAAGATTTCAGAATTGTTTTGTTTTTTCAAATGAACATAGCCTGTTCTTGCTTATGGGCATTATTCTTTCTTTGTCTCTGAAGATGTTAAACATACTTATTTCAAAGTCCTTTCTGCATTGCTCTATTATTTTCATTTCTTCAGGAGCAAGTTCTCTTTTTGTTGCATTAGAGGTAAATAGCTGCCGTTGAGTTGACTCCAGCTAATGCGGCCTTATGAACAACAGAACAAAACATTGCCCAGTCTTGTCATCCTCATCATCACGGGCATGTTCAAGTCCATCATTGCGGCTGTTGGGCCAGTCCATCTCACTGAGGGTCTTCCTTGCCCTCACTGGCCCTCTAGTTTACCAAACATGATGTTGTCCCCTTCTAGTGATTGATCTCTCCTGATGAAATGTCCAAAGCAAGCAAGTAGGACAATGTTCTGTTGTGATCCATAGGGTTTTCATCAGCTAATTTTCAGAAGTAGATCACCAGGCCTTTCTTCCTAGTCTGTCTTAGTCTGGAGGCTCTGCTGAAACCTGCCCACCGTGGGTGGCCCTGCGGGTTTTTTTTTTTTATATTTTATTGTACTTCAGGTGAAGGCTTACAGAACAAATAGTTTCTCATGAAACAGTAGTACACATGTTGTTTTATGACAATGGTTAACAACCCCACAACATATTAACCCTCTAAATTCTCAACCTTTTTTTTTTCTTTTTTTTTTGGTGAAAATACACGTTGCCGAAGATACACCGTTTCAAAAGCTGCGGGTTTTTGAAATACCGGTGGCATAAGCCTCCAGCACCCTAGCAACATGCCATCCACCAAAGTGCAACACACTGACAGATGGGGGTGGACTTTCGAGTTAATTGGCTGCGTTTTCACAGCAGTAGTTTCCTTGGCGTGCTTTCCTTTTTGTGGTTCTTGTACCACCAGCCCACAGCCCTCGTTTCCAGGCTTTTTCTGTCATTGTCACTCATGCCTTTGGGGTACTGGGTCCCCTAAAGAGAGGCCTTTGTTGCCTCGACTCCTTGGGGCATGCCCTGCTGGCCTTAGCGGGCCCTTTGGGTCCCGGAGCCTGACGGGCAGTGGCCACCGTACCCAAAGGTGTCCTTGTCTTGGGCCACAGCGGCAGCACGTGTCCCCCGGTTCCTTAGCGCACGCGGGTCCTCCCTCCCAGTTCCTTAGCGCACGCGGGCCCTCCCTCCCGGTTCCTTAGCGCACGCGGGTCCTCCCTCCCGGTTGCTTAGCGCACGCGGGTCCTCCCTCCCCGTTCCTTAGCGCACGCGGGTCCTCCCTCCCCGTTCCTTAGCGCACGCGGGTCCTCCCTCCCCGTTCCTTAGCTCACGCGGGTCGTCCGTCCCCGTTCCTTAGCGCACGCGGGTCGTCCGTCCCCGTTCCTTAGCGCACGCGGGTCCTCCCTCCCCGTTCCTTAGCGCACGCGGGTCCTCCGTCCCCGTTCCTTAGCGCACGCGGGTCCTCCCTCCCCGTTCCTTAGCTCACGCGGGTCCTCCCTCCCCGTTCCTTAGCGCACGCGGGTCGTCAGTCCCCGTTGCTTAGCGCACGCGGGTCCTCCCTCCTTGTTCTGTGCCGGTGGGAAGAGGGAAACTCTCCGCCTGAGCTGCTGCTCCCCTGACGCGTCTGGACGGATGTTTGTGTTCTAATCGACGACTTTGATGAGTTTTGATACAGAATTTTGATAAGAGATTGATGAAGTCTACAAAATTTAAAAATAATGTTGCACATTTGTTAATATTTTATTTACACTGTGATATGTAAAGAAGTGGCTAGATTTGTAAAATGTTATGGTTAACTTTTTAAAATCTGTTTTAAAGGTGGAGAAAATCAAAATTCTTTTGCGGACTGTAGATCTGACGGATGTGAAGGTCGGATCAGTCGAGGAGTTCCAGGGACAGGAGTACCTGGTTGTCATCATCTCAACCGTAGGTGTAGATGACCCCTGGTTCAGCGGGGCCAGCCCTGGTTCCACGGGGCGAGCCTTGGTTCAGGGGGGTGATGCCTCGTTTTAGTGGGGCGACCCCTGGTTTTAGTGGGGGAACCAGTGTGTGCTTTGAAGTCATTTACTCTGAAGTGTGTTCTTAGCACCTTCAGAATGAAATGGCAGCGACTGATCAGGGATGCAGTTGCAGGGTGGTGACTTCTGGGCCCCAGCAGTCAGCCAGGCAGTGACTATCAAAAGTTCTTTTAAAAAAAAAAAAAAAAAAAAAAAACTCAAAGACCAGGAAACAAAAAAGTAAAGAAACAGAACCCAGAAAGAAATGGTAAATGCCTGGGAGGAGGGTCAGGATGTCGGAAGGAAAGGGGGCTGCAGCGTTAGCAAGGAAGAGAAGGAGGGGGAGCAAGGCATGCAGGCTGGTGCCGGGAGGGGCTGCCACTGCCCGCCTGAAACCAAGGGCATGCTTAAAACGCCACTTTGGATTCCCACGTGTTCTTTATTAAGCTGTGTATGTTAATGGAAGGGGAGTTAGAAAATTCAGGTAAGAAAAAGCAAGTAAAATCATCTAAAACCCCACCACCCAGCGACAGCCCACCCCAGTTGCACTTGGGGGGCCTCCCTCGGGGGGTATTTCCCTGAGTGCAGACGCTGAGCCTTGAGGGGGACGACAGGTGTGCGCACTGTGTCCCTCTCTTTAACCAAAAACGGGCTTACACATCTGTTTAATGTTGCTAAACATTTAATCTATCAAGCATTTCTTTCTATGCCAAAAATTAAGATACCCTTTTTTATTCATCTTTGTGTTTTTTAGGTGCGATCAAATGAAAACCGATTTGAAGATGATAGGTTTTTTTTGGGTTTCTTGTCCAACTCAAAAAGATTCACCGTTGCAATCACCCGACCTAAAGCCTTGTTGATAGTGCTGGGGAACCCCTATGTCCTTGTCAGAGTGAGTCTGCGCGGCTCTGTGTGGCTGAGGTCTGCAGGGAGGGCGGCACGGAGGGAAGGAGCTGGGTCCCCAGGCAGCGACCCACAGCTGATGCCAGGGCGCGGGCTCAAGAGGCGGGTGCTCTCCACGCAGAACGCGTGCGCCACCTGCCTGTGCGCCTCCCCCTCTTCCACAGGACCCCTGTTTTGGTGCTTTGCTGGAATACAGCGTCACAAATGGTGTTTACACAGGATGCAACCTCCCTCCCGAACTGCAGTCGCTGCAGAGGTGAGCCGCTGTGGTCCTCTCCTGAAGGACTCACCCTGCCCCTCACCCCGCCCTTGCACCCACCCACCTCTCACTAGGGGAGCAGGGCCTGGACCCCCATACCCCACACCCCCCACCAGCACAACCCACCCCCCGCCACCTGCCACAGCTGTCCTGCCCCCAACGCCACAGCCCCACCGTTGCCCCACACAGCTTAACATGAGCACAGCTGTGCCCTGTGGACGTGACGGTGGCAAGAAGTGGGTCTCTGCCATCCTGCGGGGATCGCTGTGTGTGTGCCCGGTCCCCTCACTGGCTGTTTGCTTTCCCACCTGCAGCTGTGACTAGACGCGGCCCTGCGCCCAGCCCAGCAGGAACAGTCAGGAGTCCCTTCTGTAGATGAGGACTGGCTGCTGCGCCGTGTCCCGGTGGAGTGGAGACACTGTGGCCCCCGTGACCTTCCTGTCTCTGCGGGGCGTACACCTGCTCCTGTCACGCGGTCACCTCCCTGATAAAGGCTCAAGTGGGTCTCCGCAGCATCCTTCTACCACAATGGGGCACCGGGTGTCCGTGGGCATCGGAGTGTGCGCTCACGAGGACAACCCTACCCCTGCACGTCTCCAGCTAGGAGTGGGGGGGCACTGGGGCCTGCTTGTCATAGCCGTGGTGGGCTCTAAGGGGGCCGGTCCGTGAGCAGGGCCTGCAGGCGGTCGCCGACGGCCTGTCCGTGGTACCCAGAGACCAGGGCAGAGGTGGTCAGGGGCACGTGCCTGCGTCAGGGTCAGCGAGCTGCTCGGTGAGGCAGGTGGAGAAGCCAGAAGGGGCTGACCCAGCCTGGGCAGGACCAGAACTGACTTGCTCTGAGCTCTGCAAGACTGCTGTCCACACCACCAAGTCCACAGCTGTGGGACACAGCACAGCAGCCACCCTCCCCCGGGCCCCAGACCCCAGACCCCAGACTCCAGACCCCGGACCCCAGACCCTGGATCCCCAGCCTCCCCCCCCTAGGCCTCTGGGCCCCGTCTCTCGTGCAGAGCCTGCTCTGAGGTGCAGGTGGCTGCCCTGAACTCAAATGGGCCCCAGCCTAGATTCGGGCCTGACTAAGCTGACGTCCCCACCGTGGCCTCACATGGGGCTGGGAGCAGAGAGGGTACATCTGTGGAAATCAAGGTCACAGAGGACCAAAATCATTCAGCCTGTCAGTGTGGCAGGAACTGAGGTGGTCCCACCTTGGGCACTGTTGGTGGCCCAAGAGACTAGGTCTCTAGTGGAAGGGCCACTCCTGGCACACATGGGCCCCTGCAGTTCCTGAAAACCTCCCTGGGAGTTGGGGGGTCCAGGCGCTGGACTCCAGGAGCACTGGGGAACAGGCAGGCAGGCTGGGGGCAAGGGTCTCATCAAGGCCCTGCAGTGACAGGCCAAGGGCATGCCCACGGCCACCGACAGAGAAGATGAGGTGCTGCCTGGGGACAGGCTCCTGCCTGGGAGTGGGGCAGGGGTCCCAGGCTACCTCCCAGGCCTTGGCAGGCTTTCCAGAAGCTTCTGCAGAGATACCCAGCTCAGGGCTCCCACCAGCCCCCTCCATGGCCCTGGAAAGGCCAGATTTTGGGGAGGAGGAAGGGGAAGCCGAGCCAGTGGGGAGGGAGCCAGAACAGATGGCTGGGGCCAAGAGCGTCAGGCCTGGGCCCAGTGCCACAGCACCACCCCACATCCACACTCCTGTCCCCATGCTGTGCTGGACACACCGAGAAAAGTGATGCTGTGGCTCCTGTAGGGGATGAAGAATGGGTGGTCAGATGTCCGGCAGTGTCTGGATGAGGTGGGCTGTGCTTCTCTGAGGAGTAACGGTGCGGCTGTGTCCCCTCTGCTCGAGGGCCAGGATGCACCGCCAGGCCCCGGGCAGGGCGCAGAGCAGAGCTCTACCTGGGGCGGCTGAGGCTGGTCCACAGGTCCCAGTCCCAGGGAGCAGCTGGCTGTGAAGAGCAGGGTGGGGGCTCTGCCACCTCCCACCCGCCCCACGGTCTGATGTGTGCTACAGCTCCTGCCCACAGCAGAGGGGGCCGCACTGAGGCCAGGCACCAAGGGCCGCTGGCTGGAGCCCCCTCCCAGCAGAAGCCTCTGAGAGCAGGGAGATGGGTGGGGGCTTCTGGCCATAACCCAGCCCACTGGACCACTCAGCAGGGGTCCCGTGCCGCTCCCATCCGGTGCAGTCAGTGGCGGCCCGCTCTGACGGCCTCTGCCTAGGGCTCCTTCCTGACCCCCCTCCTCCCACGGTGGTGCCCAGGAAGTCCCTGCTGCTGTTCTGTTGATGCATCTCCTGATCCCGTGGGTCGGGGTCCTGGGGGACTCTCTTGCCCCACATGGCATTGGCGCTTCCCCGGGGGTCACAGGGCAGAGAGGTCCTCAGCGGGCACTCAGCAATACCTGGGGGTTACTCAGTGGTTGCCTAGCAGTCCTCAGCGATCATCTGGTGGTACTGGCTGGTGGGTGGGCTCATGTGGAGGTCCCAAGGAGGCGTCGCCACATTCCGGCATGGTGTCGGGGAGGCCGGGCCCTGGGAGGGTTGCCCAGAGCACTGGCTCACTGGCTCTCCTCCCCTTGCCCTCAGCCAGTGCTCGGAGTCCAGAGAGCATTGCTCTGTGTCAGTGCTGTGCTGTTAGTCTCAGAGGCCTTCAGTCCCTACCGGTGAACCAACAGCAGTGAGGGACAAGGGCCCTGTAACACCCTCGGGAGGGAACCCATCTCCTCTGGCTTTGCCCCTCCCCAGCCATCACTCCATCCTCCACCCTTCCGTGACACGGGCCCTGTGCCCAACACAGGCATAGCCACCCACTATGCTCGGTGCCCGGACTCAGGGAGGACCAGTGGAGCGGGTATGGGCAGCCACGCCGAGGGGCACAGCTGCTGGGAACACCAGGGCAAGACTGTGCAGGGCTGGGTCTCAGCAACCATGGGCAGTCGTGGGGGTGGGCCAGGGGAGTCACTCATGGATGGCAGGGACAGAGTAGCCAGTGCTGCTCATGGGCGAGAGCAAAGAGACAGGAGGGGACAGGAAGAGAAGGAGAAGAGAATGCTGGAGAGGAGGAGAAGGGAGCCACAGAGGCACCCTGAATGACAAGAACAGGCTCTGCCCTGTCCCTGGAGGCACGCAGTAAACAGGAAAAGGGGGAAGAACTGAACGGTAACTGGGAAACTCCATAACCTGTGTCCCCATGTGAAATCCTGGGGCCACGGGTGACCAGTTTCTCTGGGTGGTTGTCCTCACACTGAGTAGAAAGCCTGGATGGTAAGAGCAGACAGAGTTGCAGATGTTCACAAACATGAAACACAGAAGTAAAACAGCCGGGAGTGTGTCACTCGGTGAGGAGCGGGCAGGGGCTTCCTCTGCAGACAGTCCCCATCTGCATGGGGGAGCAGGACAGGGCTGGAATGAGATGGGGCTCATCACCGACTGTTCTGTTTTTCGTTTTTACAGCTGTAAGAGCTGAGAAAGCATGTTCATGTAAAGGGATGGGAATACATGTCTTGCTACAGCATTGCCCCTCAATTGTTCAAGATCCTTCTAAGTGTCAAATACCAGGAGAAAGGAAAAACTGCTCCCCAGACAGGTTCTGTCCCTGAGAAGTTTCAGGAAGAGCAGCCCTCCTGCTGGGCCATGTAGACTGCCCTCCACTCCTCCCCCTGCAAAGGCTGGACAGCTGGGGGCTACAGATCCAAGCCTCTGTCAAGGGTGCCATCAAAGACCTCTGCTCACTGCTCTGGCCCCACCCCTTCCCCTACCCCGTGGGGAACAAGGGCATGGCCATGAAGGTGGCCACTGCGGTGGTGGCCATAGTTTCCAACTGCTGATCGTTCTTTGTTTCCAGCTTTCACACTGCAGTCACCAGTAACTATCAATGCATTCTGACTGCGTGTCTGATCAATTTCCGACTGAAGAAGTTGGTAAAAGTCTTCAGGTTCTTCATCTTTGGCCTTGGTGGTTGGTGCATATATTTGAGTTAATAGTGGTATTAGCTGGTCTTCTCGTAGGTGTATGGATACTCCCTTGTCGCTGATAGCATTGTACTTCAGGATAGATGTTGAAATGTTCGTTTTGATGAATACAACATTGCTCTTCAATTTGGCATTTCCAGCATAGTAGACCATATGATTTTCCGATTCAGAATGGTCAGTGCCAGTCCATTTTAGCTCACTAATGCCTAGGATATCGATGTTTATGCATTCTGTTTCATTTCTGACCATCTCCAATTTTCCTGGATTCATAGTTTGTGCATTCCACGTTCCAATTATTAATGGCTGTTTGCAGCTGTTCTCATTTTGAGTTGTGCCAGCTCAGCCAATGAAGGTCCTGAAAGATTGACTACATGTCATTCAGGTCGACTCTACTTTGAGGAGGCAGCTCTTCCCCAGTCATCTTGAGTGCCTGCCTACCTGAGGGCTCATCTTTGGCAGTGTATCAGACACTGTTCCACTGCTATTCATAAGGTTTTCACTGGCTCATTTTTTTCAGACTTAGACCACCTGGTCCTTCTCCCTAGGCTGTTACAGTCTGGAAGCTCAGCTGAAACCTGTCCACCATGGATGATCCTGCTAGTATCTGAATATGGGTGGCATAGCTTCCAGCATCACAGCAATATGCAAGCCCCCATGGTATGACAAACGGACAGATGCATGTATATGGAGAAATAAAAAGTCATGAGTACCTAAGTCATTATTGAAAAAGTAAAAGGGGTACTTGTCCAAACGCAAATATAAGGTATACTATAAAATACACCTTATAATTTTATGATTATAAGAAATAATTATTGAAGTATGATGAAATTACAATGTTTATTATAAAAATAATTATGAAAGTATAACAAAATTATGTTTATAAATAATATTACAAATCATAATTTTATAATTATTTTATTGGTCAAGTACCCACTTTGTTTTTTTCAATAAATTATAAAAACATGCTATTGGTTTCCTAGGGTTACCTTAACAAAATAGCACAAACTGGGTGACTTACAAGAACAAATTCATCGTCCCACAGTCTGGAGGCTAGAAGTCCCAGATCAGGGTGTTGACCTTGTTGCTTCCTTCTGAGGGAAAACCTGTTCTGCCTCTCTCCCGGCTTCTGGTGGTTCCAGATGTTCATGGGGCTTGCAGCTGCAGTGTCACGATACCCTTCCTCTGCCTCCCTGTCTTTCTGTGTACCTTCTTTTACAAAGACACCACTCGGATGGTATTAGGTAGGACCCATCCTGCTCTAGCATGACCTCATGTTAGCCTAACATCTTCAGAGACCCTATTTCCAAAGAATGTCATGTTCACAGGTAACAGGGATTAGGATTTCAGCATATCTTTTTGCGGGGACGTGATTCAACCCATCACACCCACTGATAAAGACACAGGGACAGACACGTAAACCAAGGAGTGTAGAGGGAGATCCATTTACAGATAACAGAGTTTGTTATGGGTTGAATCGTGTCCCCAGAGAGAGAGGCTGAAGTCCTAACCACCATCTATAC